TTTGATGTTGAGACTTGGTGTTTTAGTTCATGAGTGATGCCCAACTAAGGCTAGTTTGACGTTGCAGAGGCACGATAATAATTAATGGATTGATCTAACAGGGAGTCTTGATTTACGGATTTTATTATAGCTTCAACTTATCTAAGTTGATCCTGTCTCATATTTAGGATAGTATAAATGGCTTTGCGCGCTTAAGAATACGCTCTCTTTCAGTATACTATATTATTGGTCAGGAATATCAAGCATATTAATAGGTACAATTGGTAAGGTGATATTTTATGAATCCTAAATAAAAATTTAATAAGAGTTAAGATAGTGTTTGAATTTTTTGAGACACTTTGACATATTTAAGGCATTCGCATGTAAATAGAATAATTGAGTCATTTAAGTTTGTTCATTTAAAAATGTTTCATTATATGAACTGAAGGGCCTATCATTGGACTGCTTAAAGGAAGGAGGGTGAACTGATTTATCCTCGTGTCTTATTTTTAGACCATAATCATCGACCAAATTAAATTATATGGTTAATTGTGGTTATTTTTAACGCCCCGGGTCTTATAGCGATAGCATCGCCAAAACTACATCCTTGAATTATAATAGAAGAAAAAGCTTGATCTCCTACTATTGTTGAGCTTATTTCCATTTTGAATGAAAGCGTTTGATCGAAGGTCGATCCCATCAGAGGATGATGGCGGATCCCTCTTGACCAGCTGTCGATTGGCTTTACTGGACATTTTTGTTGACGCTATTTGATTCCAATGGAAACGTGCCAATTGCTATTTTCTCAAAATATAGAATATAGCGGATAGTCTAGGGAAGAGGATAGATACGATTCACAGATACTAGCATGATAAAAAAAATTAAGGAATTCAGTCATTGAAATCAACCTAAGGAATAGTCGAAACAAACGATGTTAATGAATTTAGTATTATTTGTTATAGCAAAAATGAAGTAATTAATTTATTCAATATACCTATAGATGATAGTGCTAAGCTCCTTTTACTAAGTATAACATACGAAGTTAAGCAAGGACGTATATGGGAAGCTAACATGCTGGCCTTATTCTTAATTTATTCCTCAACCTTAGTCACTAAACAAAGTTTGGTGTTTTAAAATGTATGATTATACTGAGCATAAGACTAGCTGATAGAGACCATTGTGATAATGAACTAGTTTGGCCCAAACTAATATTACTTGAGAATAATGATCCCATATGTCTGATTGAAAATAACATTTGATTCAAAGAATAGCTTGAATGGTGAATATGTAAGGAGAGATAAGGACACCTTTTTCCACGTTTTGTCGTTGCCTTCGTACACTCTCTAAAAGGATAGGCAGACTAGTAAGGAAGTGGGGAATAAAGACGGTTCCCATGGAAGCTATGACACTTTCTTCACATATCCAGGTTGATCCATTATCCAGATCAAGCTTCTATAACATAATGTATCCATGTGGTCGTTTTTATGTTGAAGAGGGTGGCTGAGCACGAAAACGCTTGTAGAGGCTCTTGGGTTCAACTATCACAGATAGTTGAGCACACGGCAGAAAGTTGACATGAGATTGAATGGTCTCAAACTTGTTTTGCTGATTATTGTATGTCTGTGGCTAAACGTAAAGTGAGAGAAGCCAGGATTTATTGCTAAGTCAGTAAGTTCTCTTGACTTAGCTTGAATATAGTTATAGACATTATACCCTGCTCTGATGATATCCGTCATAAGACGGATTGAAACATCACTTTTTCACCGGAATCCAAGGAGATTGCCTCGGAAAATGCATCAATAGGAATATTCCAGTAAAATCATTCGACAGTTGGTTAAGACGAGTCTGTCATAGTCTTCTGGTAGGACTGATTTTGGAATCTCTTTACCAAACACTTTTACTTGAGATGGAAGTAAGCTCAACCATTATGAGACAAGATACTCCTCTATACCAAACCTACTCCTCTTACTGGACTATTGATATTTATCATAAGCTCTGTCTAGCTTTTGTGTCCTCACTCATTTTTCGTCCATAAAGTTTGCTTATGGCTGCAGTAGTACTATTTAGCGCTACCATTTTGCAGGCCAGACGCATAACGCGTCAGTCTCTACGATATACTTAATTTGGTTGTTGCGTCCCTTGAGGGCTAAATAGTGTCCAACTAGTATTTAGACTGCCTTTCACTTTATCAGCTTTTCCCTTTTTATATATATTCTCTACCTTAGGTAATACGTGTATAACTACAATTGACCATTCTAGCAGTGCTCTCAACGAGGTTGAGGGCGACGCACCTGAAGCTTGTCGTCTAGCTGCCACTTCTCCTGCTCCCCCTTCTTTATCCACTTCCTCTGCCACGTCTATCTCGGCATCAAGCGTGCCTGTAGCCGGGATACATGCGACATCGGATGCAGGTGATGTTCCTCTTGACCCCTCACAACCACCAGGTGATCAAAATCTGCCTTCCGAATACTCCTCCCCATTTGAGCCACCTATCAGACCGAATCAAGGTTCAGAAGGCAGGCCGATTGCATTGCGTGCCAATCATTTTGAGATTCGCGTTCCAAAGGGCTATCTTCATCATTATGACGTCTCAATCACTCCAGACAAGTGTCCGCGACGCGTTAATCGGTAAAGTTTTACTTGCTTAGATAATTGAAATCTTTTTATCACTACTTGTTGGTTTTATCGTTACTTCATTTCATTCTGCAACAGTTCTCTTCATCTTAATACTGATATTTATATTAATTTTTCTTATGTTTTACTCATTCATTCGTATATTCGCGTATATTGGCTCATTCGATGTACACAAAAATGAGTGGCTATAACAAGCTACATATTTTCAATGAGATGATTATCAATTTACATTGGTAAATAGTGCTAAAATTGCCCTGGCTAGACACTTTTGGTGGCCAAGAGTCAGAATTTTGGTCGTTTAAGTAACTATAACAGTTTGACAACAGCTATATGCTGACAAGTTCTTCCTGGATATTATTACCTGAAAATGCTAAGGTGATATTTTCCGAATTCCAATCTGAGGAAAAAAAGACTTATTATCTACGTTAAAACACTGCCTTCGCTAGCATTAGACCGATTATTTGTTACTGATTTACCCAAAAATCCTCTATTAAGATTGATTCTATTATTAAATCTCCCACTTGTTGATACATTCTTGAATTGGTCGTGTTTTATTGAGATAAAAATAACACGTTGAGTTTATTTTCTTGTTGTTAATTTATTATTAAACTTGTTACTTTTCCAGCGAAACCTCAACGTCTAATCAGCGATATATCTGGAAAAGCCAATTGCTTTGCTTGAGATTAAGAGTGAAGGCGATGTTTTGATGGCGGAGGATTTATTTTTAAATACGATCGATCATTAACTTAGAGCTATATATTTTATTGACACAGTATTGGTAATTGTTTTAAGTACTCAAATCATTGTCAAAATAATTTTTATTTATTTATATACGTCTTGAAAATGTGCTCGTTTCGATGTTTGCGACTTCTCATCCAGTCTGGACCGAAGTTTTAACCTGGCCTGGGTCTCATCAGCACCCCTAATGGGAATCGACTGCATATTTGCTTCAACGACAATCCCACGGCTAAATACTATACGGGAAAGGCCTAATTTGCCTTGAACTTTTCTTCTTGTCTGTGATTAACTGGTACTTATAGCAGGGTGGCGTGGCAGTACATCGTAATTATACGTGTTCGATTCCCAGTGAGGGTGAAGATGAGACCCAAGCTAGGGATAAACTAATCTATCCTGGATGATTATACCTTTAGAAACAAGGCTACGTGAAATCTACTTGCTTCCTGAAACCTATTTGCCTCATTATAAGAAAATTCATTGTCAGTCCCTCATCGGCTTAATCTTTTATTAATTGTCTACTGATTGCCTCGAAAACCTTCTCCATTGCAATACTATTTGTAATGAACTCATAACTCATAACAG